CTTTCAAGGCCTTTGGCCTCTGCAACAGATGGCTATGAGTCTTAATCCGGGACCCTCCGAGGTGCTTGGTGAACATGAATCCCCAACGATGTCCACCCAAAGGTTCCTAGTTTGGATCCTGCGCAGGGCCCCGCTGTTTGCGTGGCTGCTCTTGCTGCTCCCTCAGGATTTGGGAAGACGGACGGGGGGGATGGTGAAGTATATGGGCATGTCTCCGAAGTAGGGGAACCCCCCAAAATGTGTCCTTTTGGCTTCCCTTTAAACCAATCCAAAAAAAGACTTCCCTAAAGATAGACTCACCTTGCAAACGCGTGGTTCCGCGAAGTTTGGTCGACGCGCCACACAATGGGTACTTATTTTTGCACTCGTTTCTGCGACCTGTACTCCACACCACTTCCAGTTTCGGAGTTTCCGCTTGCGCTTGTGGGAAGACCCTTCGGCTGTTTGAGCCATGGTTTTTGCAGGTCGACGGATATGGGGCTCGGGCCCCTATCAGTCTCTGGCAATATTGCGAGCTGAGGCACTTGCTCTCCAGGAAGGGCCTGCCTGGTGCGAAGCTCTTCGATGCTCTTCGCAACATCGCAACGGCCAGGCGTTTTAGCCCATACTGTGGATGGACGAAATCCTGCACCACCTGAGAAACCCTGGAATGATGATTCCCCTGTAAATGCCAACAAACAATGGTTTCCCATGGTTTCAAAGTGGTGTAGGAATTTGTCCACAGTTGCCGTGAGAATGATTGCACTTGTCTAATTGTAAGGATGGACATGGACACAAGGAATCCCAGGGGATGGCCGTTTCCCTCACCACCGACCCAGGCGCTCACCTGGTGACCGATGCAGCGCGAAAATCAGGGAGCGAACTGGTTTGGCTGCATCGCAACCGACGTCAAGGGTCATCCTAAAGCCGGGCTCCTATGAAACTAAACATTAATGACAGATGTACAATTTGCAATGAAAACTGTAGATGTTAGTAGGTAGAAGGGTTGTGCCTTCGAACATGACCCCTAGAAAACTTGTGGCCGAAGCGGCGATGTCTCAAACAAGCAAATGAAGCATGGCCTTTTTTTCAAGGTATGACTCATCTGGGTGGGCGTCATTTGTGCGTCCTTCGTACACTTCTGATGTTAGACGTCCTCATGCGGTCCATTGACACGCGAGCGAATGTGACCGAATGCTCTTGTCGTTGTTTTTTCCGCATGGCAAAGTTCTTTCCAAGGCGCAACAAGTGCAAAGCGCAATTGACACCGGATCCCCAGTCCCACAACAGTTGTGCAAAACCCTCAAATCCAACTGAAGAAAGATAAACACAAAGTGCTTTGTGTGTTGGTCTTGTAGTAGGCCAGTGGATGGTTTTCCTGGTTTCCCTTTCCTAGCTAACCCCAACGGGTACCTTCACAAACACACACACAGAAAACAAAATGGTTTGGCGGGGTACTAGTGGGGTTCAGGGTGGGCCTTCAGACAATTCTGGGAAAATGTATGATGGCGCCCTCAGAGTGGTCATCGATTCCTTCCGGAGGTACGCCAAGTCACCAAAACGGGAAGCAACATGACCCTGGGGTCGAGAAATCGCCTGGTCACCTCAGCTCTTTTGCCTCAAGCATTCGCGCTTCGCTCCTTCGCTCCGCACAGGCGCGGGAGGAGTCATGCGGGTCAGGAATCCGTGTTTTTTGTTTCGTTTTTCGTGACCACCTGTTTGAAGTAGGAAAGGCAGGAAGCCATAAGGTCATAAAAGGGTTGCAAAGGAGAATCGGAGAAGCTGCAGGGAAGATCCATCCTTTTCCTGGGTCTTCGATTTTAGGGAACACCCATTACCAGTCCGGTGAGGATGTTTCACACCGACCCCAAATATTAGTATGATTATGACAGAATACAAAGATGATACTGAAAGCAATACTAATAACAATAGTCACATTACCATCATTGTTGTGAATGTATCATGATCAAGTTAGTATTGCTGTATACTACAATCCGTTATATTTTGATATAGTACATTATATTGCAGGGAAATATGCTATACTATGACGCAATATACCAGAATATGCTATATCATGTCATATTATATGATACTATATTCCATAATGTATTATAAAGTTACGTTATACTATGTCAAAATTGATTGTGTTTATACTACTGTGTGTGTATCATGTTATGATCTTATGCCATACACCATAGCAGAAAATATATTGTACAATATCGGAGTATATTGTGTTACAGCATCGTCAATATATCACAGTATATTGTAGGGTATTACGCTATGTTGTGTTGTGTTATATTATAATGTTACATTATATTATATTACATCATGTTATATGATCGATTGATAACCATTAGCACCTTTCTTGCTTGAACATATATATATATATGGTCTATGAATGACAAATATCTATACAATAAATTGAATAGTCAATGCACTCTGTATAAATATATCATTGTCATTCATAGACCATATATATATATATATTGCATATAATCAATTCTATACATCATGTTGTATCATATTGTATTTTGTTATTCTGCTAAATCATATTATTGCTGTAGCATGGGAAGATGGTTGGTTTTATGTCCCTTGCAGTTGTTGTGTAAGGTAGCCCGCCTCTCCTTCCTTCGCACGAAATTTGCGCGGGGCTCCAGGCATCATGGCCCCTCAGGTGAAGGCCGGGACCGACCCCCGGTCGAGGGTCTAGCGGCCAAGGGTGGCCCCCAAGGGGGTTCCTCACTGGATTCCTGCGGTTGGGGATTGATCAATTTTCCGTTCGTTGCCCAAAAGACCATGGGTAACTTGTCCCATGTAGTGAGAAAGATCATCCTTTTTTGCGGGCTTCCCCCAATGGTTAAAGGACCTTTTGATCATTCCTGGAGTTAACCATCGTTACTGGAGTTTGCAACTAAATCAATTGAATAGTTGGTGGGTTTCATTATCTGCATCTTGATATGAAGCTCATTGCACATGCCTACGCTGAAATCCACCGTGAATCACCGGGGCTTCTCACAACGGCTTGCCACGAGGAACACCCGCAAGAAGGAAACAGGCGCCACTAATCTGGGGTGCCAACCAAAACCTCGGGAGAAACCCCGCCCTACCCAATGGCCCAAGCTTGGGCACCCGACATGAAAGAGCCGAGCCAACGACAAATCAGGGGAAGCCCCAGATCCTTCAGCTTGCATGTCCGAAATTGCAAGCCCCCTTTCCAGTGCCAAAGATTAGTCCCAAGCAAGCCTAGTTGTGGGGCCAGCTCAGGTTCACCATATCATTCTTTGAGCAATCGTGCGATGACCGATGGAGACTTGTCCGTTGGCTATGCCTGGAGCAAGGAGGACCTTCTGGCGGCTTACAATCGTCAGCATCCCGATGCCGCTGTTGCTGCAGATTTCGAGGAGTTCATGACCTTCGTGGATAGCGGGGCGCTCGAGAAATGGGTGGACCCGACACTGGAAGCCTTTTGGACCAAAAAGCACGGGAAACGGGTGCGCTTCGCGTTTCAGGAGCCTCCGGCTCTGCACATGCACTTCCATGTGGAGACGTCGACCTTCTTCCTTGGCTTCTATCGCATGATGTTTAGATGCAATGACGGTCAGAACAGCGCTGACAAGCCTTTCGAGGAGAGACACTGAAAGTGCGAGGAATCATTGGTTTCTTAGGTTGGGAAAGGGCACCCGGGCGAAGCATATTTGTTTGGCAATCCCCTTTGGGCCCAAACTCGAACTCTACCGGCTCTTCCGTCAACGGCGACGGTGAAGGGGCGACAGGGCGCTGGGGGGACGGGGGGACGCGGGGACGGGGTGATGCGGCAGGAGTTGAACTTGTCGCCAGAGGAGAAGTCGAGATTGGACGCCGCAGCGGCAGCACTCGGCCTCGCGCCGCAGAAGCTGATCGCCAGGACCCGCTCCTGATGGTCTAATGGTCTCGTGCGTGCGGGCTCCAGAAGGTGGTCGCGGTTTCCAACCTGCACGCCTTTGTGAGTGCCAGCAACCTGCACCCCTGTGTGAGTGCCAGTGAAGCTTTGTGCTTTTCGCTGTCGCCAAAAACCAAAGACCGACAAAATGCGCTGGCTATGTGGCTGTTTGTTTGTCTGCCTCTCTCTCCTCCCCTCCCTCCCTCCCTCCCTCCCTCCCTCGCTCTCTCTCTCCCTCTCTCCCTCTCTCCCTCTCTCGCTCTCTCGCTCTCTCGCTCTCTCGCTCTCCTCTTTGCCTCCCATTCTCCCTTTTTCTCCGTCCTTCTCCCTCCTTCTCCCGCCTTCTCTCTCTTTTGCCCTCTTTCTCCCTTTCCCTCCCTCTCTGTCTGTCCGTCTGTCTGCCAGCTGCGGTTGGGGGTTAAGTTTGACAATCTATGGCGGCATTCAACGTGTATATTGAGATATAAACGGCTGACCTACCCATGCTGTCACCATTGCTATTTGGGGCCACAACGAGTACTGACCACAGGCACCAGAGTGTTACATAGCAAACTTGATTAGCGTGATACTTCTGTTTACTCAAAATACAGCGTACCTTACTCACAGGCGGTTTCAGATGGCAATTGTCATGTCCGGTAGATGGTTCAAGTTGATTGGATTCTTTCGCAAATTGGTCCAAAGCCATATATCTACCTCATTGCTTTGAGCTATTGTTCTCGACAAATTGTAGGTCAAGCGGAAAACCGGAGGTAAATCGAACGATTCGATTCCATATAGAGTCTTGCAAAAAGACCCCTTCTCATATTCTTCAAGTTAGCCAGTTCTAGTAATTGAGCAGATTGCTTGAAACTCCATACCCTGTGTTTGTATGGTTTGTAGCCAATTTGTTTGACGACCTTTTTCTTATTTGTTTGGGGCACACACACACATGCACACCTACCTTTTTTTGCGTGTTTCCTTTCTTCTTCTTTTTTTTGGGGGGGTGGGTTGGGGGTGGGGGGGTGGGAGGAACAGGTAACCATGGGATTGGGCTCCGATCTTGCAAAGGCCCCCGTCCCGGAGGTGGCCGTGGCTGGGCGCTGAGAATTGCAGAGAAAAAAAGTCACCCGAGTCCTGTAGACAGGTTTTGCTACCCAAATCACGAAAGCTAGCTTTAGCTAGCTGAAGTTTCTCCTTGCGTAAGCAAGGTAAGGGGCTCAAATGCCGAAAGATTGATTTTTTCAATTATTTGAGCCGAAAAGATTGAAAACATCAATTATTTAGACCCCCCCCCCCCCGGTCTCAGGCTCGATTCCTCCCTGGTCCATCCCCCCCCTTTTCTGGGCAGTGGCTCAGTGTTCAGCAGTCTCGGTTTGCCCGTTTTGGACTTGGTGCTACGAACTTTTACATGTTGCACCGATTCAGCTTGTTCATTTGAGACCTCAGTCTTCTCGGTAAACCACCACGCAAGAATCTTTGCACACGCAGCATGCAGAACCCAGAGGTGCTTTAAGACAGCTTCTCACGCCTCTCGTTGTTTTCATTTTTCAAGGTTTGCCACGCCACCATGTGCGTTTGCGTGTCGCATCCTACGAATCTTGCCGGGCCTCTCGTTGTACACAAGCTACCTATGAATCCACTCTGTCACCGACATATCATGCAACAACTGCTAGCTTTCGTCCACCCGCTCCTCAAGTGACATCTAACGACTCCCAACAGGATGCCCCCGGGTTTCATTTCCATGGCAACCCAATGCTACCCTGATTCTGTTTGAGCAGTTTTGCTTTGCTGTCCCCAGTACTCTTGCGGGCATGACCGCCAACAGGGGTACTGGCTCGGTGAAGATCGTGGCCCAACAATCTTATTGAATTGGCTACTCGTGACAGCATATTTGTGTTTCTCCGATCAAGTTGTTTCAACTAGATCGCCACTCCAAGGGTTTCGATGTTTTAGCGCCACTTGCGCAGTTTTTTTGGTCACAGACACGTCAGAGATGAGCACACTGCCAGGGCATGCCTTCCTTTGCTTATTTGATGAAGGGCTAGCGTCACATAGCCGTCTCGCGTGGCCATTAAGCTTGTTGCAATTGTATCTGGAACCTGAAGGTACGAAGTCATGCAGTCCCATGGGACATTTCACTACCTGGCCTGGATCTGCCTGCCCGTCCCTTCTATGGACCCATGCCCCACAGAGGGTGGTTGCGAAATTGACGACGCCACCTGGGCAGAAGATTGAATCTCTTGCCCTGCATCTATGCAACCCCTTTCTCCTTAGACGCCTACAGGCCGATTCTTAAGCTATTTGCAGCGGGCCAAATGTCCACCCTGAACAAAATCAAAGATATCGTATACCTTTCTACATATATGTGTATATATATATATATATATTAGGCCTTTGCCCCTATCAATAAATGACCCCCTTCTTTATCAGTGCCAGGGGGGATTTGGGGGCTGTTGTTCCATACTGATTGTGGATATAGTTACTACAGATTACTGGCAGGACCATACCAATTTGATACCAATGAAGGATTACCAACTTGATCGCATTTGATACCAATTCATGCCAATTTCATACCAATTCTCTACCACTTGTATACTAAAGTTGTACCAAGCTTATTCCAATTTTTAAACACATTGTATGCTACCTTTATACCAATGTTATACAATTTGTGTTACCGCATTTATACACATATCATACCATATTTGGGCTCGGATGTCATACCCTGTTGGTTTAAAATGTGTATAAAATTGATATAAAATTGATATAACATTGATATGAAAATTGGTAAGCAAATCTGGCCCGTAAAATTGGTATACATCCAGCAAATTCCAACAGCACGGCCAGATGTCATACGATTTTTTGCATTCCCGGATTTATACCAATTTCATACCTATTTCATACGAATTTTCATACCACTTTATATCAATTTTATACTCATTTTATACCAACAGGGTATGACATTTGAGCCCAAATATGGTATGACATGTGTAAACATGTGGTAACACAAATTGTACAACATTGGTATAAAGGTAGCATACAATGTGTTTAAAATTGGTATAAGCTTGGTATAACTTTAGTATGCAAGTGGTAGAGAATTGGTATGAAATGGGTATCACATTTGTATCAAATCGGTATAAACATTGGTGTCAAATTGGTATCAAACTGGTGTAAAAACTGGTATCAAAATTGGCTGAAATGACTCATTTGGCCTAAAGAGTTATTGTTTGAGGCAGGCCCTAATATATATATATATATATATGCATAGCTTAGCTCAGGGCAAACACATGGCCCGCCGCCAAATAGCTTGGGAAGAAGTGGACATCGGTCATGCGAAGAACTAACATTTGGTTCGAAGCTTTTGTCCTGGGGAAGTAAGTGTCCGAGTGCCCATACCTAGAACTTCCAGCTGCATTCCAGAAAATCAGCCGCGAAAAGCCAAAAACACGCCGCAACTAAAACAAAATCGCCGCAAAACTGTTTCCAGAATTTTGGGCTGGCCGAGCATAATCCCAGGTTTCCATGCCACTTCTTTCTGGCTCCATTCTTCCAATGTTCGAAAGCAAGGTTATCATAGAGGACAGCTTAGTCCAAGTATCTAGGGCGCAAGACGAGTCAACTTGATCTGTTTTCAGTTGCCGCTCATGTTACCAGTCGATCCCAAAATCGGACGCAAGCCGAAAAAAGAATTCTCAGCCCCGAAACCTGGCAAACCGACGACCAGGGACCGCCGCGTTCCCGCTGATTTCGCACATCGGGGGTGGAACAAGCTGAAAAAATGCAAAGAAAGCAGCCACAGGTTGCAATGGGTTGATTGCGGTCGATTGCGTCTGAGTTGGGGCATCAGCTGGATCGATGGGCCCAGGGCGGGCTTGTGACACTCCTCTTTTCCACAAACAAGAAGCTCTTGTGGCAGGAAGTTGCAGCATTGCAGGTTTCACCTCATGTTCCTAGGTGAACCTCACGCACCAAGGTTTGCAAAACCTGATTTGAGCCAAATGTCACAAGTGCGAAGTCGTGCGTGTCCTGTTAGTCGAGGCGAGGTCCTGTTAGTCGAGGCGAGCGGAGGCGAGATCACCAGTTCTGCCGCAACTCATCAAAAAAAACACCGCAAATGAGGAAGAACCGCCGCAAAACGAAAAAAGGTGCCTTCTTTGAACTGCAGCAGACATTTCTGCCGCAATGAATCCCTAGGTATGCAGGTTGTCAATGAAACGTCAAACACGTTCATCAGAAAGCGAGTGCAGAAAACAACAAGCCCAATGGTCTAAGTGTCATCATCCTACCAGTCACTGCCCCCCCCTCCAAATCATCGCCTCTCCCCCCATTTCGCGCACGGAGTTCCAGCGAAAGCGATCCGACGTTCGAGGCCCCGGCGATGCCCCGCCCCCTGCGCTCGCAGCCGGTGGCGTGCAAGCCCTGCGGGGCGCCGCGGTGCTACCAGGACTCGGAGCGAGCGCTTTGGAGGCTTTGTAGCCCTTTTAGTTGTTGGGGCAGTTGGGTGTCGGCTTTTTGAGATGACTTCAGGTAGTTGTTCTGAAGCTTGTTTCGAAGATTGTTTCGGGGGTAGCCACCTCAGGATTCTAGTCATTTCGAAGTTGGCTTTGGGTGGGGGTTTGCGGCTTGCAGTAGAATTGGGTGTGTCTCAGGAAGCCAACCACCTGCGAAGAGGAAGTCTCGTTGGGATGAGCTGGAGGGTCCTAGTTTTGAGGCGTAAAGTTGGAAGCTTTTTAAAATAAGAAGCTGAGCAGCCCCATCTTGGGTCTCCTGTGAGATAAACCCACTTGGATTACCAGTGAGCGACCATACAATTGGGCAATCCTCTGCTTCCAATTTCGTAACAGCAAAGAAAGCCACTCTTCATTATATCAACGCAAGAAGGGTGGCGTTGCTTTTGGTTTCAACCCCTCTAAACACCAACCAGCCAGGGCTTCCCTTAAAAAGAAAAGAAGACAACGGGCGCCTTTCGCTCCAGGACAAGACCTTCAAGTGCCAGGAGTGCAGTCAGAGCTTCGACACCGAGCACGCTCTGAGCCTGCACGTGAAGTGCGCCCATTTTGTTTAAAAAAAATAATAATAATAATAATAATAATAATAATAATAATAATAATAATAATAATAATAATAATACGATCATAGTAATACTACTACTACTACTACTACTGCTGCTGCTGCTACTACTACTACTACTACTACTACTACTACTACTACTACTACTACTACTATACTAATAATAATAATAGTAACAATAATAATGATAATGATAATGACAACAACACTAATAACAATAATAATAAAACATACAAAACATGTTTCCGCTCGAGCGGACAAGTTACCAAGTTTCAGACGGTTGGTTGGACACATGTTGTTTTTGGAGGTTTTTCTTTTTTCTTTGCACTCTGTCCAACATCCATGTTTTCCGCCGGAACGCCATCTGTACAGAGGTGCCATTTCAAGTTGGACCATCGGATGGTGGTTCTTCAGCGTTTCAAGGCCCAAGGTTTGCATCATTGAACCAGCCGAGAGTATGACCCGTGCGGTTTCAGGGGTTGCTGCTTGACCCCCGTTTTTGGGACTTTCTTGGAACATAATGTTTGCTTTGAGAGTTGCTAGACTTCTTTTGCGGGATTCGTTTATTTCCCAATCGTCGAAAGGTTCACTTCCAACATTTGCACTCTAAGCTGTTTGGGAGACCATGTCAAAATTAAGCAGACGGGTTGGACGGTTGGCCAATCTCCACAAGGTTAGACCCTGTTTCAACCTGAACGGCTTTCAGTCCGATGTCAGGTACATCCATCGCTCCAAGGAAGACTGAGCAGCTGAAGCAGCTGAAGCTGAAGCAGAGAGGTCGAACTCCTTGTCGCGGTGCGCCTCCTATCTTCCTGGGGGTGTGGTGCTGGATGAAACTGGGACGCCGTTGGGGCCAGGTTTCGTGAAGCCATGTGTTTTCCGCGGCAAAGTTTGAGGGCGAAGCACTTTGTGGATATCCACAGGGGGGCGCACAGTCGTGACCAAGCGTTCGAAGCTAGGGCAGAAAGGCAAATCTCCCCTCCTTTCACAGATCCTTGTCCATCACCTGCAACTGTACACCATGGTGGGGGAATTTGCCTACGTAGTGAGGTCAGCTCACAGACATGGCGATTTCAAGTGGCAGCTTCTTGCCTCCTTTCTCCTGAGCCGGCAAAATTGGATCCGATCTTTTGTAGCGGCGAGAGCACATCTCCTGTCATGCTATGTACCGAGCTTTGCTGGTATCTGTGATCTTGCCCAAGTGCCGCCGTGGCCAGCTCGGGCATTTGTTCACGTTCTGGAACAAAAGGTTGAGATGCATCGAGAGGACACCTCTCCGGGTGAATAGATGTGACATCAGCACATCAACAAGGGTCTGATTTATCAGCAGCAGTGCACACCTTGCAAAACGGCGGATTGCATCAGCAATGCTCCCTAGTGACTTCAACACCGGAGATTGCAACAGGTTTCCCGTGAGGATTGCGGACCCAGCCGACCCTCGCCGCCATGTCGGACGTGCATGGCCAAACTCCCTCAGAAGGAGCTGAAGCGTATTACCGCGGTGGTTTCAGGCTCGCCAGAGCTTGGGCGCGTGGAGGTCGCATAACGCGGGTCTTTTTGAGTTATCTGGATATTTCCGCTTGGGGCAGCCTCCAAGCCTGGTACAAGAGAACTTTAGAGGTTTCCATTGCCATTTGGATATGTGGGAAGCATGACCAGCCCACAAGAGGCATGCATCCTTATCGCCAGCACTGAGTTGGGGCTTGACACCTAGGACCCGGATCGCATTTTGCCCCACCAGCGACAGCCGTGGGGCAGGTTCCAGGAATGCAGCCAGCTTCCGCCGGGAGGGTTCCAGGAGCTGTTGGGCATATTTAAGGGCCGCCCTGTGCCGCCGGCCCCTGCTTGCTGACAGGGGACGTTGTTATGACAATTACGAGTACGCATTTTTTGTCGGGTTTCACGGCACACCTAAGGCATATATGAAAAAGAAGAGCAGCACGATAATGATGATGTTTTTGCATTTTTTACCAACATTAGGGATGCTGATAATTATTACTATGCATTTGCATTATCGCCAGCAGTTATGATGATATTTGTTACTTTGCATTTACATTTTTAGCATCACCAGCAGTTGTTCTGATATTTATGACGACGCATTCCCTTCATCTCAAACAAGCCGCTGCGGGATAAATTCGCATGACAATAATCACCTTGTTGAATTTTACAAGAAGTGCCCCGGGTGTGTGGAAACTTGGGCAGGAAAACCATGTTGGGGGCCTATTTTTTCTTCTCAAGACTTCGATGTATTGCTGTGGATGCGAAGTGTGGACTTTATGCCATCACTTCGTCTTCGCGAGAAGTAAGCCGTTAGGAACACCTCGATGCAATCAGATGGTGATGGTGATGATGATCATGATGATGATGCTGATGAACTATGCACCCCCGGCATCACCAGCAGTTATTATGACAATCATGACTACGCATGCCCTGCATCTCAAGTCAGGTCTGACGGCACACTTGAAGTGTATGTGAAAAAGAAGAGCGCCACGGTTTTGATGATGAACATGATGAGGACCATGATGATGATGATGATGATGATGATGATGATGATGATGATGATGATGATGATGATGATGATGATGATGATGATGATGATGATGATGATGATGATGATGATGATGATGATGAACATCAGTGGTGATGATAATCATAAGGCAAGGACAAAGACAAACCCTTCCCATGCGCCTCCCCTTTGGAGAAAGGGGTCGGCGGACTCTGGTTCATTTTCGCAGAACTTCCCTTCCCTTGCCAGGCCTTGGCAAATGCGGCCGCTGGCACGAGGCTCTGAAATTGGCGCGGCGCTACCAGGGCGACACGGCGCGGGGTTTAGGGCTCGGGGCAGGGCAGAGGCGTAGAGCCTAGGGCTCTCTGGTGGTTTGGCGCAGCTTTCAGAGAGGGTTCCAGGGTTCCAGAAGGTTCCAGAAGGTTCCAGGGCGGGGCTACCACTTGGGCTTGTTTTGCTCTCAGCATGATTTGTTTTCCCTTGTTGTGCATGCTTGCTGACTGGTGCTTGTGAGGAATTGGGGGAACCGTGGGTGGGGTTGGTTTCAGCTCCTCTGCTCGGTAGGGTCCTTCTCGACTCACTGAGCCGGCATTGTGACATTGTGATCGGACGCTCCAGAGTCGATTTGAAACGCGTTGCCATGCTGAATGTGGTAACAGGAGTTGGGGGGTTCGTCTAGGGAGGGTACCCTCCCATCAACTCACTTGGAACCCGAGCAGGGGATTCTTGGAACATCATTTTCCCACAGAGACGCAATGGTGGGGTGTTATGTTCGTGGGGAGGGTTTGAGGCTGTTGACACCATGAAGCGGAGTGCCTCCCGGAACCCGGGAATCTGCCTGTGCAGGCTCTGCAGAATGCAGCCATGCAAGCAGCAGCCGAGGGGGGCTTATGGCAAGAGGCGATGGATTTGTGCCGGATGGAACTGCACGTTCGGAAGCCAGAGGGATGGGATTCATAGGGCTCCCCTAGTATGTGTTGTCTTTGTGCTGCCTTCCAATGAGGGTCCCCGAAAAGGTTCACAATGTTGTCGACCCCGCGTGCAGAGGAA